ACATAAGGTTCTTTAACAAGCTTAATAAAACATAATCACCAATTAAAATTAATCCTAATCAAATAATCAATCCATGTTCACAAATTCATCTACCTAAACAGAAGTTATGAGTTTTAGCTCATGATTACAGCAGAAACAAACAAAAAACGAAATCAATTGGTAAAAACATAGTTCAAACAAGAGATTAGGTAAGAGTAAACTTGATTTTGACTTGATTCTCCTTAAAATTGAATGTAGGGTTGATTCCCTTGCTTCCCACGCTCCAGCAGCACCTTTAGTCGACAATTGGCCTCCAAGGGTTCATCTATATGCTAGGGTATCGATCTGAAAGTCCCTTTATATAGATTTTCACAAAACAGGGGCTACTCGGCGAGTCCAGTGGCCTACTCGGCGAGTCCGTCACTTAAAACCCATGTACAGCAAGTCAGCGTGTCCAGAATCGCGAAACTTCTAACCAACTCGGCGAGTTGATGGCCTACTCGCCGAGTCCATTTGGAATCAGCATTCTCTCAAAACATAAAAGTCGTCCGAAATTGTGTCTAGTTTTCAGAACATTTTGAATCTCGTCAATCGGAGTTACGGTTCATGAGATATGACCAACACACTGACGAGGGGTCAAGCTATCCAGCAACATCCTTCTTTCTTCAAAATCCAAGATCCAAGCGTCCAATCGCTAGTTCCGCTTCCTTTTCCATCCGAGCATGTCATTATTGATGAAAAATTAAATTCTAAACTAATTAAGCACCTTTTGTTCATTAAATGAGACAAAAACAACATAAAGTATTAAGATAATGCATGAAGTTTATAACTAAATATGCCCATATCACTTGCTATAAATACTTGGTATTGAATCACCCGTTTCACCATTCGCTATTTCAGTTAGAATCCGTTCCCTTCCTCTGTCGACTTTTTCTCTCGTTTTCTTCTTCTCTTCCAAACATGGAAAGCACTGGGATTGCTCACATTGGGACGATGAAATCCAAGTTAACCGTTCGAACCATGGGTATGCTTGTTCGGAAGTACAATATCGATCCCAAGTTCCATCCATGCTTGCCGGAGGCCAAAGACACCATTACTGACGCCCCTAATGGCTTCGTGGGGGTTTACTGAGTATTCTTCAAATCTGGGCTGCGTCTCCCTACTTTCGATTTCCTCGAAACCGTTTTGGACTATTATGGTCTGCACATTGACCAAATAAACCCTAATGGTTTTTGCAAGATTCTTTGCTTCACTCTGCTGTGAGTTGCTCTGGATGTATCACTTCTATCTTCCTATGTCCAATGGAGATTGGGTTTATTTCTCTCTTCGTCATGGTTTAGTAGAGATTTGTAACGGTCTTCGCACCTCTATAAAATACTGGAAAGAGGAGTTCTTCTTTGTTCATGCCTCTTCTTTCTCCAGCCCAATGGCATACGGTGCTACTACTGATAGGGTTGTCGACCCCATCCTGAAACTATCACCCAACAAGCAGTTGATAGCGAAGAGGTTATCAGATAATTTTGTTAAATGGGCGGACCCTAATGAAGCGATATTAGGTATGGCTAGCATGAGTCCCCATTGGAACCGTTTGGGTAAGAAGCCAGTGGAGGTGTTCTAGGGAAAGAACATAACCCTTCTTGATCGAATCCATTGAAAACGACTCACAAACCCCTTCCTAGTGACGGAGGAGGTGATGTCGTCAGATTCCCCGAGTAGTTCAGAGTCTAGCATGGACTTTGTCCTAGATGTTTCCCAACCAGAGGGTTCTAGACCTATTCCTATTAATCCTTGTTCAAAGGGTGTGAAATTGGATGTTAATTGTGGTAAACCTCCCACCGTGTTTACAAGGGCTACCTCGAAAGGGTTCATCTTGAATAAGCATTTCGAGAGTGTTCAAGACGATCAAATCATCAAAATGTTTCCTCCAAAACAAAAACATCCTGGTCGTGAATCCCGAAGCCGAAGCCTGAATGATCTATCTGACCCTCTGGTTTTTGATGTTGCAAGTTCTGAGCGTACCTTGGAGGGTCCTGCTACTACTGTCCCTCATAATTTTTCAATCAAACCGGACACCAAAATGAAGCGTGTGGAGGATGAGGCAGATGCGAATCATTTGGACAAATCAGAATCGGGGACCGTTACTGGAGGTCTCCTAGAGAAGATCCTTGAAAATACCCTTTTAGAGAAGGAAGGCCTCAAGGGTCTATCTGCTGCAGCTGTGTTCCATTAAAAACTCTTTGGGTCCAAACTTGGTCTATTCGTGGCATCGACTACCGACTCTTTAGTAGTTACTCCTATTCCCATTCCTTCCGATACCATGACAGGAAATGAAGAGCCCGTGGGGACCAAACTTGTAGACATGGAAGTTAGTATCCCGAATACCCCCTGCATTAGGCCGTAAGTTCCTTTTCTTTCATTGTCAATGTTTATTTTATTCTCTCTATGCTCTTTGAATAAATGAGAAAAATTCAGTAAATCTAGACTAGAATACTCCAAGTGTTGATAATACTGAAACAAAGTTTCAGAATCGTTAAGTGGCAAGTAGTGCAGAAAATAAAGAGTTGTGAATCAATCAAATTAATAGAAAAAACATTTTTTAATGTTCAAGATCAACGATTCTAATGTTTCTCATATTCATGTAGATTCAATTACAAGTGTTTGAATGTAGAACACACTAAAACTCTCAAATGGCTCTATGAAGACTAGTCTAAGTAGCAATTTGTGCATAATAAGCAGGAATTATCAGAAAAGAGCAACTTTATAATGGATCCTAGGGGTGCTATTTATAGGCTTTGGAAAATCCCATGATATGGCTTAACTAATCAGGTGTTGACACGTCATCATGACTTAGTCATCGGTTGACACCTTTGCCTTACTTAACGGAAAATGGATGGAATATTCAAATTCTGTTAGTATTCCATTAGGGATCTATCCAAGATACGAGTCTTCATAATTCTTGAACCTTCTTGATCAACATTGAAAAAGTGATGAGCAACATGAGCATCATGTTGCTCAATTGTCTTCTTAGATGTCATCAACTTCCATAAGTGTTATTGATCATGTTGAGTAGTTTCTTGAATGTTGGACAGTGTCTTGAACTTGAAGATGTACCACCACATATTCATGATGGACCATGGATGAAATTCATGTTCCTTTGAGCATTTGGTCATGCCTTCATTGTTCATGATGTGCTATGTGAAACCTTGTTGAGCCATCAATGTGATCATGTTGATCCATTAACTTGAGTTGAGCCACCAAGTATTCCTGTTGAGGCATCAACTCTTGTTGAGCAATAGAGTTATGGATGAGCCAACAATGTTTCTGATGAGCCATCAATATTGCAAATGATTCATCAATGTCTTGATGCTCCGTATATGATCTAGATGTTCCATCTGAGATCATGATGATCCAACTAGCTTTCAACAAGTGCTCCATGTCAAACAACAGGTGCTCCAAGTAAGCTTCAAGTGCTCCAACATCTGATTCTTCAAACACTTGTTAAATCTTCAGTATCTTTCCAACCTAAAATATTTTGATAATGTTTGTTAGAATATTTAAATCAATACTTAACTTATTTCAAGTGACAATCACATCAAAATATTTCCAACACTCTTTAGATCCTTGTCACAATTTACTTGCTTGTTGAATGTGCAACTATTGTTATTACAGGAAAAGAGGCCGCAATGCCAACATTGATTACTCCTGCTGCTTCACTTCCCCAGTTCAACGTCCCTTTGCTGTTACAAACATTCCCAAGATCACTTTTCAAATGGTGGTTGCCTTTGACGAAGAAGCTCTAGATAAGGCTCAATATTTCTTGATGGTAGGGATGCATTTATTAAATGAAGTGTACTTACGCACAAAGGCACGTGCAAAGAAAACTACTCAACATTAAATCGTTTTTGATGAAGCCTTAGAAGGGTTGAAACCACTTCAGACCCTTCACGAGCAAACGGAGAAAGAAGCCAAGGGTTTGAAAGAAGAGGTAGCCGGTTTGTGTGAGGGAAACCAAAGTTTGGAGACAGATTTGAGTTAAGCTATTGGTCAACAGGAGGAGTTGAAGAAGTTAAATAAAGATTTGCAACTGAAAATAGATGATGTGATGTGCCATCGCGCCTCTGCCATTAAGGATCTCGAGGGTGTTTCTCAACAATACCATTCGTTGATGACGCAATATATGGAGAAGGTTTCTCAGCTGAAAATCGCTTATTCTAGCAAGGATGTTAGTATTAAGTTGCTAGAGGAGGAGTTAGCCGCAGCGAAACTCCTGATGTTGGAGAAGGATGCTCGAATTGCCACATTGAGTGATTCACAACTTTTGATGGACCAAAATATATCATGTTGACAGATGGAAATGTGTCAAAAGGCGAAGGAGTTGCGGTGGGTCATAAAGGAAGGTATTCCTATCTTTCTTCAAGCTTTGTTAGATTCAAGAGATTTTGGTGATGTGAATGCCGCCCTGTAGATGTTTGCCATCCAGTTTGGGCTCCATCAAGCCTGTGTGGACATGAAAGAGAAGTACCCTAAAGAGCTAAAAGATAAAAATGTCTTGTATTCGTACCCAGACGCACAACGTCAAATTATTGAACGTTTTGCTGAGATGACAACACACAAGTACTGGCTAGAATCTGCTCTGGGAAATGAAGAGATGGATGTTGGCGGTTTGAAGAAATTGTTGAAGATTGTGGACTCATATGGAGCGGATGAAGTTGGGTCAATGTAATGCCCGCGTGTCTGGCTAAGCAATATTATGATGATGTAACAGTTAGGATCAACAATTGTAATCTATTTGACGTAATAAAGAAGAATTATGTGAATATAATGTGTTTCATGTTTATTATAATATAATAAAATAAGAAAAATAAGTTGATTCGTCCGTAAATCATTTTAAATAAGTTTGCCAAAACATACACACACACACACACACACACACACACACATATATATATATATATATATATAATTTAGAAAGTATATGTCGCCCTGATCCCGAAAATATAAAATTCGTAGAAATCCGACTCCGTATGAATTAGATATAATTTTTATATGATATAAAAGTCAGCTGCGCACTAGGAATGTGTGACGTAAAAAGCTATGAAGAGAATGATTGACTTTTAACTAATACCACCTAAAAGAAAATCATAGTACTCCTTAAAATAGGAATTTTGAGAAAAAAAATGTCAAAAATGGAGTCCGTATGAGAGAGATATGATTTTCGCAAAATTATTTAATTTTATAAAAATATGGACAAAAATATAAATTCATAATTAATCGACAGAGTCTAAACGAAAGTTGTAGCTCTCATTGATAGCTACGTGTGGATATGAATAACGTCAAAAATGGAGTTTGTATGAATGAGTTATAATTTTTAATAACATATTTACGTATTAAAATAAAGTATAAATCATATATACCTATACATATATACATATGTATATATCATTAGAAGTGTATCGTCGATGCGGTCGTTATAAGACTAGTGTTGAGTACTTTCTACGTTATTATAGTACAATTATCGTTAAATCTATATAAAATAGTATTATAAAGGGATGTTTAGTCGTTTATATAACTATAATGCCATTAAGTAACTATAAATGGTAGTTTTTGAAAATTTAATTACGAGAAACAAGAGCTTCTAGGCTCTCGTATTTCTTGCACCATTCTCTTGATTCAAGAATCATTCTCTTCATATCCCTCGAGCATTTCTGTCTCTCGTGATTTGACTTCTCTTTCTGTAGTTTTAGTATAGTAAGGTGAGCGCTGTAGCGCTGCAAGAATCTTTCTTAGAAAGATTCAACGATGAAGTTCTGCTCCTGCAGAGCCCGCCTCCTAGCTAAAACCCTGTTGTATGTAGGTTACTCTTACCCTACTTTAAGTATAACTTATGTTTAAGTTTATTATCGTTATTATAAACTTATAATATATATATATATATATATATATATATATATATATATATATATATATATATATATATATATATGATATAAAAAGTGTTATTATAATATACTTTAACCACTCGTGGTATGGGGAATCAACTTAGAAGGGCCGCATAGGGTTGTTGGATTTCAGAAGTGCTATAATGCCAAAATGGTTCTGTCCTCCGGTGTTTCATGTCTAGTCCCTGTTTGTACATAGTGGTTGAAAAGTATTGTTTAACGCTTATAATAATAATAATAATAATAATAATAATAATAATAATAATAATAATAATAATAATAATAATAATAATAATAATAAGACTAATAATTAGTAATGGTAAATATTAGACTAAAATCTAGTGGTAATGATACTAGGTTTCGTCAAAGGAAAGTAAATTAATAGAAGCGAAGCGCTGTCTGAGTTCGGAATCACCACCTTAATAAGTGAGTGCATAGTTACTTTCATCTTACACATATATATGAAGTATTTAATATAAATTACGTGATATGTGTGCATATTATCTGTATTCTTGATATCTATGTTGGATGAATGTTTTACACTTGTTTTAAATGATTTAAATTATATATGTATTTTATATCTACAAAAATGTTGGGTAAATCATGAGTAGATGAAATAGTTGATGTGTAATGAAATAAACCGATGGGAGACCTTAATGTTTATGATGATCCAGTCATCTAATGGAGTATAGATGGCAACCACAAACTATTCTAGACATTCCATTGGAATGCTAGCAGGCTCGCAACCTGTAGGTGTTTATTTAAACTACGTGTTCACCAGCAGTACTCCATCCCCCTCATGGTTGCCTTATTTGACATAAATTGCTGAGGTATCCCCTAAGCAGTGTAGTCACCACGATGAAAATCCTTAGGCTAGGTCCCTTATTATAGATGCCTTAGGGATGTAAAGTGAGGATAATGGGAATGGGTAATCGGGTTGAATGATTTGATGAAAATAATAAACTTATTTATTGTGGGTTGAAAGCCCTATGTGCTCACCAAGCTCCCAAGCCTGGCCCACTCAGTTTCTTGTTTTACATGTAGTGGCACAAGATCATAGTTGCGATGATTGATGAGGGATAATGGGTTATAGGCCAATAGATATAAATAAATTTTGTAAGGCCTATATTGTTTTCAGTTTATGCTTTTGATCTGCATTGACAATGACATCCCGAGGTTTTAATATATTGAAATAAATTTCTTCGGAAATTTTTTGATAAAATCTTTTTCATATTTTTGGGAACAAATTCTGCAACACTTTCTTTAAAAAGTTACTCTGATTTTATTATAAAGCATAAACAAAATCGGTTTTTTCTGTCCATGAAATTGGTGATGTCACAGTCAAGATAGGGGTCGGGAGGATGTAGTTTTTTTTTGGCAGGTGGAGGATGGAAGTTGTGTTTGTTGTCGTAATAATCTAGAACTTTTTAAGTCGTAACTTTTGTTTTTTCAATGTTGTAGGGCATGTTTCTTTTGTTTTAATATATTGTAATGATATTAAGTGATAATGCAATCCTTTTCTATCCATTCGAATCCTTTTATCTTCTTTCCCTTGTGGTTGTAATAGTTACTTGTGGTTTTGATTATTCTTCTATAGGTTACGATTGACATCTAATTTCATATCAACTTAAGGCATCCAACAGGATTTGAAATATCTCACCCGCTAACTAGAATGTTGTGCTTAGCATATGGTTTGAATTATTGGGTTTGAACTTGAGGTTTGGGTGATAGGATCATCTAGCCATAGTTTAGAAGGTTATGGCAATGTTTGTGAATGTTTCGAACCATTAGGTATGGGCCTAAGGTTCGAGCGATAAGAACATCGAGCCACAATGGAGGGTTATGGCGGTGTTTGTAAGTTGATTGAACCATGAGGTTTGAACCTAAGGTTCGAGTAATGGCAACATCGAGCCATAATGTGGAGGATTATGGCGATGTTTGTAAGTGGTTCGAACCATTAGGTTTGAACCTAAGGTTCAAGTAATGACAAAATCGATCCATAATATGGAGGATTATGGCGATGTTTGTATATTGTTTGATCCATTAGGTTTGAACCTAACGTTCGAGTAATGGCAACATCGAGCCATAATGTGGAGGATTATAACGATGTTTGTAAGTTGCTCGAACCATGAGGTTTGAACCTAAAGTTCAAGTAATGCCAACATCGAGCCAGAATGTGGAGGATTATGGCGATGTTTGTAAGTGGCTTGAACCATTAGGTTTGAACCTAAGGTTCAAGTAATGGCAACATCGAGCCATAATGTGGAGGATTATAGCGATGTTTGTAAGTTGCTCGAACCATGAGGTTTGAACCTAAGGTTCAAGTAATGGCAACAACGAGCCATAATGTGGAGGATTATGGCGATGTTTGTAGGTTTCTTGAACCATGAGTTTTGAACCTAAGGTTTGAGTAATGCCAACATCGATCCATAATGTGGAGGATTATGGTGATGTTTGTAAATTATTCGAACCATTAGGTTTGAACCCATGGTTTGGGTTATGGAAATATTGAGCCATAATGTGGAGGATTATGGCCATGTTTGTAAATTGTTTGATCCGTTAGGTATGAACCTAAGGTTCGAGTTATGGAAACATCAAGCCATAATGTGGAGGATTATGGCAATGTTTGTAAATTGTTCAAACCATTAGGTTTGAACCTAAGGTTCGAGTTATGGCAACATCAAGCCATAATGTGGAGGATTATGGCGATGTTTGTAAGTTGCTTGAACCATGATATTTGAACCTAAGGTTCGAGTAATGCCAACATCGAGCCATAATGTGGAGGATTATGGCGATGTTTGTAAGTTTCTCAAACCATGAGGTTTGAGCCTAAGGTTCGAGTAATGGGAACATATCGTTTTACACTTAACTATTCATAATTGGTGAGGTTGAAAAGAATGAAAGTTATCATTTTAGAACAAGTAATCGAATTACATAAAAAAGAACAAAAAATTAATGAGTTCTAAAATGTTGTTGTCGCTTGATTCCTTTTCCCCTGGTTGTCAAAAGTGGAATTTGCGGAGATTGTGCATGTTTCACGCTCTCGACAAGCGGGTCCCGTCTAATGTCTGAAGAACATAAGCTCCACTTTGTCACACTTCTATCACTCGATATGGCCCTTCGCAGTTTGGACCCAGTTTTCTAATGGTCTCTTTCCTTCTTGCTTCATTCTTGCGGAGAACTAGGTCACCTACTTTACACGATGACTTTTTTTACCCGGGCGTTATAGTATCTCTCCATCAACGCCTTATAATTGGCTTTTCGTATGGTAGCTTCTTCCTACTTTTCCTCTATCAGGTCCATATTTGTTCGCATATTCGCTGTGTTTGACCGTATTTGTGGATTGCTGGTTCGGGTAGTTTGAATCGTGACTTCGATGGGAATGATTTCTTATTTCCCATACACTAGGCGGAAGGGAGTTTCTTTGGTTGGTGCGCATACCGTGGTTCAATATTCCCATAATACATGCTGTAACTCATCAATGCATCTTCCTTTGGCTTTTCCTAGCCTTTTCTTAATTCCTTTAACTAAAGTTCAATTCTTCACCTCTACTTGACCGTTGGCTTGTGGGTGAGCCACTGAGGTGAAATTCTACCGAATCCCCTTTTTCCTGGCACCATTTCTTGAAGGGATTTTCGGGAAATTTTTTGAAATTGTCACTTATGCTAATGTGGGATAGGCCGAAATGACAAACAATTTGTCTTCATACGAATCTGATAATTTTTTCTCTAGTTATGACCGCAATTGGCTCAGCCTCAACCCATTTGGTGAAGTAGTCTATTGC